AATAATGGATTGCATTTCTATAGCGCATATCCACTTATGCAATGCTCTATGCGCTATTAGATTTAAGTTTCGGGCTAACACCTTTCTTCAACACTCAAGAAACTAATATCTCAGATTACAACAGGGACTATTGCAGCGTTCACAGTTCATTTTCTGGATCAGTTAGTTTTAGTTTTAGTAGAGGTTTTACGGCGCTCGCAACCGCATAATGTCATATGAGCGCCAAGGGGTGGATGTCAGCAGAGAAATCTAAACGAGGAATCAGACTTACTCTGCTCACCACTCTTGGCTCAACAGCCCAAAGTCTGCTTCGACTCTCAATGCACTCCGGAAATAGCAGTTCCCAAGAGAGTAACAAATGACGATAGTAAGGATGAGGAAAGAAAAAAGCAGCAGTTTCCTTCTATGTTGTTCCGGCACAGTATGAGCATGACATTGGTAAATCAGGCCAAGAAGATGTTACTATCCCACCTTTAGGAATGGCCTAAAGACACTTCAGTCAGTAGCACCTGCCCTAATTGGATGGGAGGGGGGGGGGGATCTAGATCAGACCCAGGATGCAGCTGAGCGAATCTTTTTTTTGGTTGTTTCAGTGGGTTTAAGTGGTTTACGGCACTTGCTTCACAATGGTTATGTAAGTGCCGAAGATAAGAGGTGTTTCAAAAGAGTAACAAAAACACACAAAAAGAACTAGGAGAGAAAAGGAAGAAAGATATTTGACACGAAAGAAAAAGAAAACCACTTCAAAGTATCCGCCAACCACCCATTGAGTGAACCTGAACTGGTCTCTTAAAAGTCGGTGCATATTTGTGTTTTTTTTCTTGTTTACCTAATTTGTCATAAAACTCTGCTGCTTTTCTATACTTTACTTACACTGTATCCCCCCATTGTATCAAATATTTTTCCTTTTAAATTTTGGTGGATGATACATACCATCAGCTTGGAACGTATCTTTCTTATGCAGAAAACGTTAAAGTATTCTTATTTCAAACTAAACTTGCTGAGATAACGCAGGACAACGGGCTTCCAACTTATCAGAGTTAAAAAACTAGTCAGAGTTAAAAAAAGAGTTTTGGAACGTTGACAGCAAAGGTTAATTATGTCACCATTTCACCTGCAGTGAAAAACAAAAGGACACACAGGTGGCTTGCTGATGCCTTTTATTTCTTCTGAAATTCAGCTCAATTAAAAGCAATTACACTTGACGTCAGCGTTATTTTCTGCCCGTTCTACAGCACAGCTGTGGATGAAATTGGGGAAGTCCAGTAACTTCTTACCTCTTGGGGTTGTTTACGCTGAGAGCTGTCTTCAATAAGGGTTAAGTGTAGTAGTAGTAGCAGTATAAGGTTTTACGGCGCTCGCAACTGCTAAGGTCATATGAGCGCGCGAAACACAAGTTGTTCACTTCTGCGAAAGTTCACTTCACGACTGGTAACTAATTTACTTTAAAATGCTAAAAAGTAAAAATATTCAAATTCGGTGTAAATACATTTGTGATCTAAAACAACTTTAAGGTTAAGTGTGGGGAAAAATAAATACAAGCCGCGATGTAAATTTTTGCTGAAGAGTATTGTATAATAGGAGTATTTATTAATTAAGGGAGGCCATGCCCCCCTCCCCCCTCTAAAAAAAACAATACACACACACAAACAGACACAAACGCACACATACACACAAAAACAAACCCGCCCCCCATAGCAACGCAAACAAACGACATTAGCAAAAAGCAACAACACCCCAACAACCAACCAAACTAATTAAAAAAAAAAAAAGTTCAGCGAAGTCCCCGGGCTGTACGAATTAATGGAGAATACAGTGAATATAAGCAGATTAGGCGAGGAGTGAGGAAAGGATGTGTTATGTCACCAGACCTCTTTAACATGGACAGTGAAACAATCCTTAGAAACATAGAAGAATGTCCAGGTCTCAAAGTAAATGGAGAAAAGATTAATAACATCAGGTATGCAGATGACACAGTTTTAATAGCAGGCTCAGAAAAGGACCTTCACTTGCTTCTAGATACTGTTGTAACAGAGAGTGAACGTAGGATTACTGTTGAATGTAAAGAAAACAGAATGCATGGTAATATCCCAAAAAGCAGCAAAGCCTATTTGTAATCTCATTAGCAAAGGTG